GGAAATAAGTATTCATTAAGCATGTACTCTGCACCAGACATAGTGCTGAGACCTTTACAAATGTATCTCATTTGATCCTACAACAACCCTGTGAAGTAGATGCTGTTGTTATCCCCATTTTACAGATGAGGAAACTGAGGCAGATGGAGGTTAAGTGACTTGCTCTGAAAGTGATAACCCAAACCTGGATTTAAAAAAAAAAATCATCAAATGGCCATTCTAAAGTCAATGAGAAAAACATTCTGATTGAACCTAAGTTCCACCAGGGCAAGAGCTGTTTTATTTTTGCCTTTATGTACTCAGTGCCTAGCACAGTGCCTGGCACAGAATAGGCACTCAAAAATGTTTCTAGAGGGAAGAAGAAAAAACGGGAGGGAAAAGAAATTTGCATGATAACTTTATTATATATTCAAAAGGAATAGCAAGTTGTGCATTATAGATTTGTAGTTTTTTATGTGCAGTCATCTTTAAAAATTATACTACGTTTTGGAAATGCTTGTTTTATTCTATAAATTAAAAAAAGTTTACTAAAAATAGGATGCTGAGGGGTCCACCTATATTATTAGATAATTAGCCAAGACTAATTAAATATTATGGGTGGCTAGGTGGTGCAATGTATAGAGTGCTGGGCCTGGAATCAGGAAGACCTGAGTTCAAATCTGGCCTCTGATACTACTGTGTGACCCTGGGCAAGTCACTTAACTCTGTTTGCCTCAGTTTCCTCATTTGTAAAGAGAGCTGGAGAAGGGAATGGCAAACCATTCCAGTATCTTTGCCAAGAAAACCCTAAATGTGGTCATGAAGATTCTGAAATGACTGAACAACAAGAAACAATGACAATCCTGTGATGTGGGTACTAGAAATTTTGTTACCCCCATTTTATAGATGAAGAAACCAACTCAGAGGGGTTAAATGACTTGCTCATGGTCATGCAGCTAGGATCAGAGAAGAGATTTGAACCCAGTATTTCTTCCAACAGAACATGCTGCTACAACTAAAATTTCATCTTATTTGCAATTAAATTTTCATCTTATCAGAGGCTACCATGTTGTAGTAGATAGAAACTTCTCCGGGTGGAAACTCCTCTATCCACAGGTCCTTGCCTTGCTCCTAATTTATCACTCCTCTTTACTCCATTATAATGGAGTGCCTAGACAGTGCTTGGCACACAGTAGGCACTTAATAAATGCTTATGCCCTTCCTCCCCCCTTTTCTGGTCATCATTTGCCTTTCACTAGTTCTCTAGGCCTTCCCTCTGGCCTCTTTTAATGATCACAGGCTGGCTCAACAATCACATCTTCTACTTCTTGCTTACGTGGAGGTGGGTTTCATTTCAACCTGGTAACTTGGGGTCACCAAGGGCAGCTAGGCACTTTCTTACTATCTCCCCACTTATCTCAAGCTTCAGCTCCCTATTATCCAATTGTGTTCTCTCCTTTCCAGTCCAAAGATCGTTCTTCTTGAGAAGTACAAAATGAAAGTTGAGCAGCTGTGCCTTCTTTCAGTGGTTTGTTATCATCTCCTCCACCCTCTCCACCCCCAGAAGCAGCCCTGTCCTTTCTTTGAGCTTACTCTTTTCTCTAATGTGGTTGTCTTCTAGCTAGATAGCACAGCTGATAGAGTGCTTGGCCTGGAGTCAGGAAGATCAGAGTTCAAATCCAGCCTCTGACCAGCCTCAGCTTTGTGATACATTCCAACTATAAAATCGGTATAGTAATAGTACCTTCCTCATAGGGTTCTTGTGAACTAGTTATAAGGTACTTAGCACAGTGCCTGGTACACAGTAGGTGCTTAATAAATGTTGTTCTCTCCTTCACTCACTTTATTATTTTTGGTTACTGTTATTGTTCTTAGTTTTCCTCCTCAGGCTTAGCTCCTTCTGAGATTTAGCACAACTTATAATCTTCTCATAGGGCCATGCCATGTTTTTGTATTCATCTACCACTATTTATCCTTGCTTTCTGTCTTACATATATGTCTTTCTTTTTTTTTGCTTTTTTTTTTTTTTGCAGTCAGGGTTAAGTGACTTGCTCAGGATCACACAGCTGGTAAGTGTCAAGTGTCTGAGGCCAGATTTGAACTCAGGTTCTCCTGACTCCAGGGCCAGAGCTCTATCCACTGCGCCACCTAGCTGCCCCTCCATATCTTCTTAATATACAATACTACTGTTCTCCCCATGCCCCATCCTCTTTCTCTATCTTGTTCTTTTTGAATATGGTATAATCTTTCATGACCATATTCTTGTGTCTCAGTGATATTGATACTTATGAGGTAAAATTTGCCTTCTTGCACTAAGAGCTCTAGTTCACCTTGCTTCTTATGCATACTTTGTGCATTTGTGTATAGATATCTGAGGTCATAGGCAGCTAAGTGGCTGAGTGGATAGAGTGCTGGCCTTGGAGTCAGGAAGACTCATTTTCCTGAGTTGCAATCTGGCCTCAGACACTAACTAGCTGTGTGACCCTAGGCAAGTCACGTAACTCTGTTTGCCTCAGTTTCCTCATCTGTAAAATGAGCTGGAGAAGGCAATGGCAAAACGAATTAGTATCTTTGTCAGGAAAACCCCAAAATGGGGTCATGAAGCCTCAGGCACAACTGAAAAATGACTAAACAACAACAAAAATCTGGGGTCATAGGCTTTATTACTGGTCTTTTTTTTTTTTGGATTTTGTCTTCTCCGAATTTTTAGGTATCTTTATGGCTAAATCTTTGAATTATATTTTAGCTACTTTTCATGGTATGAAGTTTGATGGAATTTTCTCCTTCTCTCTTCCTTTTCAGATTAAATCCCTTTTGATCAGATTTGCAAGACATCTAGTCAGACAGATACATTCTTACCAGCCCTTGTTAAGTGCATTCCATCCTAGATTAGTGGTTTGTTGGTCTATCCTTGGACACCATCATTTTAACTAGCTGTTCACACTTCAAATCTTCCTTTCTCTAAAATCTCTGCCTCTGACTGGTAGAATGATGAAAACACTACATTCCTAAGATTTTCAGGGTCTTTATGATCATTAGCAGCACTTTCTAGATTCCTTCTGGCAATATTATTTGTAGTCATAAAATCACTGTAAGTGGGTAGTAGTCATCTGCTTTGGAGTCCTGGGAGCTTCTCTGTCATATTCTGGATATATGTCCTCAAAAGAGCAGTCATCTGTTCTTATTAGATCAACAAATGACTTATATTAATACTCCTACCCCTATCAGTAGAGATACCAATTACTGCTATTTACTCTGTCTTCTCCTGACCCTAACCGAATGATCTCTTATCTGACATTGCTGTGAGAGCCACATCACTGACTGAAATGGAGGCAGCTGCTTCTTCCTCATGGGGTTTAGCTCCATCCTCTTCAGGGAAAGCCTCAAATCTACTTAGCTTTAGGAGTTAAATTTCAGTGGTGCTCATTCTTTCCTTCTCCTCTTGTTCCACTTTCTAACCTTTCAACAAAAGTTAGATGATTTCTTTGACTTCTCAGATCCTTTTTTGGGGAATCCTTCTGTTTCTTTCTCTCCTCTTCTCTGTGTTTCTCTCTGTATCTCTCTCCTCTTTTTTCTCTTTGTCTCTCTCCTCTTCTCTTTCCATCTCTCCTCTTTGTCTCTGTCTCCCCTCTGCACTCTCTCTCTCCTCTTCTTTGTCTCTCTCTCTTCTTCTTTGTCTCTCTCTCTCTCACACACACACCTCTTCTGTCTCTCTCCCCGCTTGTCTGCCTCTCTTTCACTCGCTTTCTCTCTTTCCTCACTCTTCTGTCTCTGTTTCTCTCTTTTTCTGTCTCTCTCCTCTTCTCTCTCTCTCTCCCTTCTCTCTGTCTCTCCTCTTCTCTTTCTGACTCATTCCTCTTTTCTGTCGCTCTGTCCTCTTCTCTGTCTTTCCTCTTCTGTCTCCCCTCTTCTCTCTCTCTTCTGTCTCTCTGTCTCTCCCTCCCTACCCCCTTGCCCCCTCTCCTTCTTTAAGAGAATTCTTTATTCTCTATGATGATCTGAAGAGTGGAGAGGTGTTCCCCAGCCGCTTTCCTACCTTCTCTTCTAGGAGGGAAACCAGTTTATACTTTGAGCAAAGATAAGTCACTTGGTTTTGACAGAAATATGAAATTTGCATACTTTATTCAGGTCACTGCAAATTCTAGCTGCCCTCCAAAGGTGCTAAGATCTAGATCCTTGGTTCCTTATCACTCATGATAGCCACACCTATATTGTACTTACCTTACCAACTCCCTTCTCTTTCTCCTTTTCCTTCTCCTTCAGCTCTGCCTTTTTCCACTTCTTCTGGTCCTTCTGCTTGAGTTTTTCTCTTAGAATTCGTTTTCTCTGAAAAATGAAAGCAGTTGGACTAGACAACCATTTTGCTCTTTTCCAGCTGTCAATCTAGGATCCTGTAACATGCGATCCTTCAGTGCTAGATCCTACTCTTTCAGCTTTGAGGAGGAGTACACCCCTTTTTTCAATTTTTCCTCAAGCCCTCTCATAGTTTCCTCACTAAATTCAATCTCTGGGCTCTCTTTGCAATTCCCAAACTCTCCAAACTTCCTTCACAGTTCCCTTTTCTTCAGCTCAAGCCATTTTCCCACTCCTTCTCCAGCTCAACCTTTCCCTCATCTAAGAGGGAAGCAGACTATTTGCTTAGTTTCCACATCTGTAAAATGAGGGGATTTGATCATTTAGAACTCTTAAGACCACCCAGCTTGAAGTCTTGGGATCCTAAGCTGTGTGACCTTGGCAAAGTCATAATTATTCTCAACGCCTCAGGGTTTTCATTTGCGAATCACTTTTGCAAATCACTTTAAATGTAAGTCATATGTAGTATGTAGATGAAAATATTTACCCTACCAAACGAGCTGTGATGACCAAATAATATAACTGGTTTGTAATCAGCAAGTGTTAAATGCATATAAAATATTATTTTCATCATTTTCTATATATGATGCATTCAACTATGCTCTTCTTAGACACAAAAGAAAGATAAAACATGTTGAATCAAATACTATACTTTATTTTAAGGGGAGTAGAGATAGGAGGAGAAGAAGGCAAAGAGGACTGTTTTTTCTCTCTCCATCTTGGGAACCTGGGACCTAGACATTCAACAGGAGGGTTGTGAACTCTTTGAGGCTTGGTTTTAGCGATGGTGAAATGAAAGGGTTGAGGCCAAACAGGCAGTGAGACTAGTTGTCTTATAGGTGGAGGGTTGCCCAGAGTTCGAGATCTCCTCCCAGAAGAAGGAGCTTGGGATCCAGTGTGGGGTGTTGTGTGAAAACTGGATCGAGTTGCAGGCCTACTTGGTGGTTGGGTCAGGGCTGATGCTGGCTCCTCCCTAGGTGTTGATGGAGGGAGTTTTGAGGTGGTGGCTCCAGAAGTGCCTGAAGGGTGGTGGGAGTGTGGCATAGACTTTGATTTCAGGGCACATCCATAAAAACAGGGAGCAAAGACAGATGGTAGAAAAGAGCCAACATCCTGTGATTTCCCACTTGGATCCAGTCCTGGTGGGTTATCTAAGGGGATGCCCAGCTCTGTGAGCTCTTGCTGCAAGTCTTCAAGTATCCATCTCCTCCTATGAAATATGAAATGGGATTGCAGGGAGGAAGAAAGGTGAGATTTGCATTGAGACAAAAGGAGAGAAGTAAGAAGACTGGATAATGATAAGGACTGGATTGGTGATTTTATTAGCACAGTTATCCCTTCCCCATTGTGACTCTCCCCATTGCAGTTTGGACCCATGCCATTGTTTTGACATATCACAAGTCAGAATAAGAAATTAAATAAACGCGGAAGCCATAGATAACACATGAAGGCCAGCAGATGACAAAGAAAAAGTTTAGAAACTCAGAAATGCATAAATATATGTATGGTATTGTATAATATCAACCCCAATTTTACAATAAGGTACTGTAAACATCCCATAAAGAAAAAGAAAAAAATCAGACTTCTTCTCTGGTATGAAGGGAGGGCCAAAATATTTTACACAGGTTTTCCATATCTTAGGGGTGAGGAAATTCTCTCTACCAGTAGAAGCAGACAGAAGGAATGAGAGTGAGCTGGAGAACCGGCTGTCCATATGTACCTTGAGCTGTCCATACATACCTTGAGCTCTTCCGGGCTATTGGGACATCTTCCTCCAGCAGGAGCCCATAGTCAAGAGGAAGTTGTTGCCTACCATGGTCCCCACTCATTTTCTCTTAAGAGAGAGATTGAGCTGGGAGAGGAGTGCTAATGGTTAGAAGATTGGAAGTGGAGAGTAGGGCTAAAATGGAGGGGTTCCTGACCTACTCTTCTTCATCTCCCATCTCTGGGCTTTGCACAGGCTTCTCCACAGACTCTCTTCCTTCAAAATTCATCCCAAGTACAACCGTTCACATTAGGGATTCTTAAGCTTTTCTGTGTCTTGACCCCCTTTGGCAGGCTAGTGAGGTTCTTGTTATATCCATCTCATGGTTTTAAATGCATAAAATAAAATACATAGGATTATAAAGGAATAACATTGAAATAAAGATGTAATTTTTTTCATCCAAGTTTATGGACCCCCTGACATCTGGGGGGTGGAGGTATTGTTCATAGACCTTAGATTAAGAATTCAGTTTTACATGAAGTCTTTCTGGATCCTCCCACAACTGCTAGTGCCCTCCCTCTATAATTACCTTGTTTTATAAAACTTGTATTTATTTATTTTTTATATTTATTCTGCACATGCTATGTATGCTTATATATGTTCTTGTTAGAAAGTAAGCTCCATCAGACTAGGGATTGTTCCATCATTTGCCTTTTTATCCCTAGTGCCTAGCACATAATAGGTGTTTAATAAATGCTTATTTTGATTGATTGATTGATTTTGAACCCTGGGAAGAAGGAAAGGAGGACTCTTGATTGGTCCAAAACTCTCCATCTTTCTGGCACCTTCCCCTTTCCCTTGAGCCCACCATTCACCCCCACTGCTTCTTGACCAGTTCTCTGTATTCTCCTATTCTGTGGGACTAATCTATTCACCAGATGTATTAACTTTGTTCTTTTCTGGCTTGGTGTTCCTATTCATGCTGTCTTGAAAGCCTTTCTTCTCTCTCTCTCTTTGTGAGAAGTTTCAAAGGCCTAGATCATCCTAGCCCCATGAAACCTTCCTGGATACCCCCAGCCAGAAAGGTTCTTCCCACCCCCCTAAATTCAGATGGTATTTGTGTGTTTCTTCCTTAGATGTCATATTTATGGTTTGCAAAATGATTGCCTCACAACAGCCCTATGAGGTAGGCAGTGCAATGATTGTTATCTCTGCAGAGCAGACAAGGAGGATCACTGAGGCTGAGAGAGGTGAAGTGGCTTACTCAAAGTCACACAGTAAGTCCTGGGGGCTCTTAACTACATATCCAACCACATCCAACCCAACCCAACAAATAAACATTTGTTAGGTGCAAAACTACACATGCCCACTTTGTGCAAATTTCTGTGCTTGGTGCTGGGGATACAAAGACAAAATGAAAACCAGTCCTTGTCACTGCTAGGCATATGTACCCCTAAAGAAGTCACAGACTAAAGGGTCTCAGATATACCAAAATATTCATAGCTGCACTTTTTGTTGGAGCAAAACACTGGAAACAAAACAGATGTCCATCAAATGGATAAACAAATTGTGGTACATGAATATAATAGAATGCCATAAGATGTGTTGTGATATAAGAAAAGATGAACATGATGGGGGCATCTAGGTAGTACAGTGGATAGAGCACCAGCTCTAGAGTCAAGAGGACCAGAGTTCAAATCCAGCCTCAAACACTTAGTAGCTGTGTGACCCTGGTCATTTAACCCCCATTGCCTCTTGAGAGAGAGAGAGAGAGATGAACATGATGAATACAAAGAAGCATGGGAAAATTTATGAACTGATACAGAGTAAAGTAAGTAGAACCAGGAAAACAATATATAATTACAATCTGAATGAGGTGTTCTTTTTTTTTTCTTTCTTTCTTTTTTTTTTTTTGGCTAGGCAATGGGGTTAAGTGACTTGCTCAGGGTCACAGCTAGTAAGTGTCAAGTGTCTGAGACCGCATTAGAACTCAGGTCCTCCTGGCTCCAGGGCCAGTGCTCTATTCACTGCACCACCTAGCTGCCCCCTGAATGAGGTATTCTCAACTTGTCATCTGTGAACTTGTTTATAAAAATATTTTAATAACTTGGTTTCCATATAATTGTTTTCCTTTGTGATCCTATATATTTTATGCATTTAAAAACAATATTCTGTCAAGGGGTTCTTAGGTTTCACAAGACTACCAAAGTATATGACACAAAAAATGTTAAGAACCCAAGGTGTAAATGGAGACCACAGCAACAACAAAGAAAATGAACCCTGTGTAATTAAAGTGACTAAGCTTGGCTCTGGAGAAGAGTTGAGAAAATTCACCTTCTACCACATCACATCTATCATATTGGCCAAGATGACAAAACAAGAAAATGATAAATGTTGGAGAAGATGTGGGAAAATTGGAACACTAATGCATTGTTGGTGGAGTTGTGAAATGATCCAACCATTCTGGAGAGCAATTTTGGAACTATGCCCAAAAGGCTATAAAAATGTGCATAACCTTTGACCCAGCAATAGCACTTCTAAGGCTATATCCCAAAGAGATCATACAAATGGGAAAAGGACCCACATGCACAAAAATATTTATAGCAGCTCTTTTTGTGGTGGCAAAGAATTGGAAATTGAGAGGATGCTCATCAATTGGGGAATGGCTAAACAAGTTGTGGTATATGAATATGATGGAATACTATTGTGCTATAAGAAATGATGAACAGGCTGATTTCAGAAAAATCTGGAAAGACTTGTATGGTCTGATGCTGAGTGAAGTGAGCAGAACCAAGAGAACGTTGTATACAATAACAGCCACGTTGTGCGATGACTAATATTGATAAACTTAACCCTTCTCAGCAATTCAAGGATCTAAGACATCTCCAAAGGCCTCGTGATGGAAAATGCTATCCACATCCCAAGAAAGAACTATGGAGTTTGAATGCAGATCAAAGCATAGTATTTGCTATTTATTTTCTTCTGTTGAGTTTTGTTTCCTCTTTCTGGTGGTTCTTCCTATTGGTTCTAATTCTTACTTACAACATCACTAATGTGAAAATATGTTTAATAGGAATGTATATGTATAGCATATATCAGCTTGTGCACCATTCTGGGGGAGGGTGGTGGGGAGGAAGGGGGAGAAAAATTTTAAACTCAAAAGCTTATGGAAGTGATGGTTGATAAATGAAAATAAATTAAGAAAAAAAAGAAAAAAAAAGAAAATTCACCTCCCTTCCTTCTTTGCAGAAGTAGAGGATTATGGGTATGGAACATTGCAGATACAGTCAGACTTGGTTGACATAGACACACATAGACATACATGTATAAATACAAAAATACATACACATGCATATATAGAAAGAAGTGTATCTATATACTCTCCTCTTTAAATATATGTATGTATGTATGTATGTATGTATATGTGTATGTATGTATGTATGTATGTATGTATGTATGTATGTATGTATGTATACAGGCAGCTAGGTGGCACAGTGGATAGAGTGCTGGACCTGAAGTCAGGAAGACTCATCTTCCTGAGTTGAAATCTCAGGATTTCAGATACTTACTAGCTGTGTGACCTTGGGCAAGTCACTTAATCCTGTTTGGCTCAGTTTCCTCATCTGTAAAATGGGCTGGAGAAGGAAATGGCAAACCACTCCAGTATCTTTGTCAAGAAAACCTCAAGGGGCAGCTAGGTGGTGTAATGGATAGAGCACTGGCTCTGGAGTCAGGAGGACCTGAGTTCAAATCCAGCCTCAGACACATAACACTCACTAGCTGTGTGATTCTGGGCAAGTCACTTACCTCAATTGCCCCTGCAAAAAAAAAAAAAGAAAGAAAGAAAGAAAACCTCAAGTGAAGTCACAAAGAATTGGACATGACTGAAATGACTGAACAACAAGAAAAAATGTGTATGTGTATATCTATATACCTATCTTTATATTTCTATCTATCTATGTAGAAATGAAGGTGATGTAAAAACAAAAGATATCAATAAAAAAATTGTCCTTACCTTCAAAGGAGTCCATAGAAAGGTGGATCTGACATGAATACATAAATATATACATGACAGTCTGAGGAAGAGGAAGATTGCTAACAACCAGAGAATCAGAAAAGGCTTCTGGAGGGATGAAACACTGGAGTTATCTTTTCAAATAGATTAAAAACTCCCTGAGAGCAGCAGAGACCTTGTCTTAAATGTCCTCAAAATATTCTACAAAGTTTAGACCTCATTACTGAGCCCACAGCAGGTTCTCAGTAAACATTAGCTGGCTGAATAAATGAACAAATGAACGCATGAAGGAATGAATGAATGAATGAATGAATGAGGACTGAGCCAGCCCAACCCTACACATCTTTGGGGGTGGGATGGGATGGAAGTGACTAAAAAGAGAAAGAAGCAAGAGGAATGCAAAGAGAGGAAGGGGGGCAGGTATGGTGGAAAAAGCAATGCCTTTGGAGTCAGAGGAGCCAGGTTCAAACTTTTTCTTGGCTTCTTACTTACATGCATGATCTTGAGAAAGTCACCTAATGTCTCTGAGCTCCAGTTTCCTTATTTGTAGGATGAGAGGCAGCTGGACAAGATATACTCCAAGGTTTTTTGCAATTAAAAATCTATGTGAGAGAGAGAGAGGAGAGAGAACACATATTGGGGTGTCATGAAAAAGAACTACCCTTATCTCACAAAACTCCCTTAATATTCATTAAAATGAATAGAAATAAGGTTCTGTTTTATTACTCATTGGGATAGACTGTCATGTCTAGAATTTAAAGCTAGAAGGAACTTTAGAGACCATCTGGCTCAATCTCATCTTTTTGACAGATGGGACAAGAATCAGAAAAGGGAAGAATCTTGCCCAGGGTCACATAGGTAGTAAACAGTGAAGCTGACATTCAAACTCTAAAATCATTTCTCTTTTCATTATCTCAGGTTATCTCATCACTTGCAAGTACCAAGATGCATTCTCAAACCAATTATAAACATTGAATGTAAGCTCTCTGAGATGAGGGGCTATTTTCCCCCTTTGTCTATCTAGCACTTCCCCTCTAGGTAGCAGATATTTAATAAATGCTCATTAAATAGAACTTTGCTAGACTATGGATGTCTCTAATGCCACTGCATTTGTGTAGATCATAAAGAATACATAGGATCATAGATTTGGAGTTGGAGGTAAACTAGTTCAATTTTCTTGTTTTATAGATAAAGAAGCAGAGGCCCAGAGATAGGTAAAATAACTTCCATTATTCCACACTTGTCGTTGACTGCATTGGTATTTGTTAGAAGTAAGCTACCTCTAAAACGAACTCATGAAATCCAGGAGTGGGGCTGACAGCCTTGAAGACCCTATTACTGTCTGTTTCACTGAAATTTGTGCATGTTCGCTCGCCCGTATGTGAAGCAGGGAGGGGGTGGGGGGAGGAATTCTCCTGTGCGCATCATTTGTCTTGATGGTTTTTTACTTTCTGTAATTGTCAGATTTTGAGAATGTAGGAAGAGAGCAGCCATGACTTCCTCTGAATTCTTTGTCCCATAGCATGATGGGGACTTACTTTACCTACTCTGGAGAGCTCATCATCACCTCTTGCCTTCATGGGGATACTCTGAGCTCCTCCCAGCACCTGTTTCTAATGATAATGGTATAGTGGAAAAAGCACTGGGTTTGGGAGCCAGAAGACCTGATTCCAAATCCAGTTTTTCTACTCACTAGCTGTGTGATCTTGGGCAAGTCTCAAAAACATTTCTGGTCCTTAGATTTGTTTTTGTTTTGTTTTTAAATTGCAAAATGAGGGGGTTGGAATTAGATGTTCCCTAAGGTTTGTTCCCAAAAGATAATCTACAACCTAAAATGTCTCATTCAACTCTGGAAATTACCATAGGCCAGCATGTTAGATTTAATATATGCTTTTAAAAAGTTCCAAATTGCACATAACAAAAGCTCACAGCTTCACATGCAATCCTATTTCGTGATCTTCTTTGTATATGTAAATAAATGTTCATGTTTGTTAGTATTCATGTTCATAATAAAAAGGGAAATTGAAAAGAGAAAAAGAAAATACCATAAGCTCTAATATAGTTTGGATTGGGTTTTGAAAATAAGGCTCATGGATTCAAGGAGAGGAGGGGGAAAAGATCTCAGGTAGGAAGAAGCTTCCATAATGTGACATACTATTTCACATAGAATTCAGCTGAAGTAGAAGCATTTTTTATTCAGTTACATGATCTTTCTAAGATCATACAGCTTAGTCACTAGTGGAGCTAGGACCTGAACCTAGGTCTTCTGGCTCCTGGTGCCCTTTCCATCATACCACACTGGGGTCAGGTGAATAATAAAATGGTGGATGGACAGCAAGTGTGCTTGGCTAGGGTACAGGAGTCTGTTGGAAAATATACATAAAAGAGGGTATAGTGAGGCACACTACAGGGTGAGATCAGGAGAAATGGGCCTGGGACACCTCTGATTCAAAGACACTGGATCCCATCCCCAACTAATCCATCAACAGACATTTATTAAGTGTCTACTGTGTGCTAGGCATTGGAATCCTCAAGGAGCTTACAGAGCCAGAACAGACCTTAGAAGCCTTTTAATCCAGCCTTCTCACTTTACATATGAGGAAACTGAGACAGACAGAGGTTAGGTGATGTGCATAGGATGATACAGCTATCAGGTATCTGAGACAAGATTTGAACTCTGATCTTCCTGACTTCAGATCCAGAATGCTATCCACCGAGCCACATGCAGGGGGAGGGGAGGAAAAGTCAGAAAATAAAGGAAGAAAAAGGTTACCATTCAAAATGATTAGGAGGATAGTGATGCCTTCAGCAGATTTAGGAAAGTTAGCAAAAAGGGGGGTGGGTTTGTAGGAGAATGATAATTTTTCTTTTGGCTTTATTGAGTTAGAGATGCCTACAAGACATCTTGTTGGAAGTGTCCCATAGGTGATTGTGTATAAGGGAAGGAACTTAGAGATAGGGTGAGATGAGTGTGCACTGATGTGTGTGTGTGTGTGTTGTATGTGTGTGTATGTCATGTGCACAGAGATAACTGAACACAGGAGGTGCTGATGAATATCATTTTAAGTATGTAAAGAGAGAAGACAGCCCAGATCAGAGCCCTGAGGTATATAGGAATCCCGGGGCAGGACATGGATGATGACAGGGCAAAGAAGATTGAGAAGGATTAACTGAAAGGTAGGAAGAGAACCAAAGAGCATCATTAGGAAAAACCAGAAAGGATACAAGGTATCATCCAGGAGGGGAGGATTTTCAATAGTGTCAAATATTTCAGAGAAGTCAAAAAGGATGAGGATAGAGATAAGGCCATTGGATTTGTTGATTAAAAGATCATGGATAACCCTAGAGAGAGCAATTTCAGTTGAGTGATGAGACGGGATGCAAGATTGCAAAGCGTTGAGAAGACAGTAAAAGAGAAAGTGGAGGTGATAAGTGTAGACAGCTTTTTTCTAGGTGTAACTGTGAAAGGGATGAGAGATATAGGACGAAAGTATGAGGGTATGAAAACATCAAATGAAGAGGTTTTTTTTTAAAGAATGAGAGAGGTGACTTGGGCCTGTTTGTAGGCAATAAAGAGCAGTAGATATAGAGGGAATGAAGGTTAAAGAGAAGGGATGGTTAACGAAGGAAGGCAATCTGCTGGGGAGAGGGGAAGCGATGGGATCAAGGGTATAATTAGAGGGAATGACCTTGAGAAGAGTTACCAAGACTGGAGTAATGCAAAAAATGAAAGATGATGACTACAAGGGATTTTGAGATAAAGAGAAGGGAGAAAGTAAGAGATTTGGTTCTCTGGTGATAGTTAAGGGGAGGGGGTGTAATAGGAGGTTTGAGGAGAGGAGAAAATCTGGAACATCCTCTGAATCTGATAGAACACAGAACAATACAAGGATTGCCTTATGGCAGTGATCAGTTGAGATTAGAGAACACAGTCAAAACTTTTTGGAGGCATTGAAGCCTCTACCTCATCTTTTATTTCTTTTCCTCAGCACTGAGAAGGAAAAAGGACTGGGAGCTAACCAGAGAGCCTACTCCAAAGTGTAGTCCAAGACTCCCCAAACCACATGGGCAGTCAAGGTCATGCTAGCCATTCTCTTGCCTCAGATATATACTCTCTACATTTCCCTCAGCTTAGACATGCAGCCTGAGGGAGTTTGTCAGTGGAGAAGTAGGAGGGGTTCTCTCCTATCTCTAAAAATTCCTTATTCTGCCCCCTAACAATTTTTTAAGAATCACAGGATAGTTGTTAGACCATTGGGAGCCTGGACTTGGGTCAGGATTTCTTTTTTTTTTTTTTTTTTTTTTTTTGCTTTTTGATGAGGCACTCTGGATTAAATGACTTGCCCAGGGTCACACAGCTGGTAAGTGTCATGTGTCTGAGGCGGCATTGGAACTCAGGTCCTCCTGACTCCAAGGCTGGAGCTCTATCTACTGCGCCACCCAGCTGTCCCTGGGTCAGGCTTTTTGCTTTACTAGTTGTAAGCAAGTGCGGAAGTCAATTTGCTTCTCGTGGCCTCAGTTTTCTCCCCTGTAAATGTAGACAATAATAGTACCTACTTCACAGGGTTGTTGAATAAGATGTGAAGCAATTCACAAGCTTTATTATTAATTTCAAAGTAAGCTGTTATCAAAACGAGGGGAGTGGACTACATCTCCAATATCCCTTCCAGCTGAAAAATTCTATGAATCCTGCCACAAGCATTTCCTGTAAACTCACCTTTCAGAAGTGTCTGGGTCTCTCTAGCCTGGGTTTCCCGCTGTTGATTTGAGACAACTGAGGAGGGCAGAGAATTAACTTCTCCCTTTTACTCAAGATTTCCCTGATCCTCCAGATTGTCTGACATGTAGGCCTACCCTCTGGGCCTCTGAAGTCTATTAGGAATGGACTATAATAAGGGGTGGAGGTAAGGATGAAGGAACAAACTTCTTAGGCATTCCAGTGCCCAGGCTTAGTACTTGTGATGCCCCAGTTCAATGAACTGAGTCCTCTGCCTTTTCCATCACAAGCCCTACTGGAAATAGTTTGCCAAAATGAGCTCAGCATCTCCCCATTACTTCTGCTGCGGGAAGTCAACTCAGCTAGAAGAAAAGCAATAGATGAATAGGGACGGCGTGTGGGTGTGGGTCCAGCTAGGATACACCTATAGGTTCATGCTAGAAACGAACTTGAAAGGCATTTAGTCCTAAGACTGGAATCGTTGTGTAATCCTTGAGTAATACGCCAATAATTGCTACCTGAGTGAGCCTGGACAAATCATTTGGCCTCTCGAGCTCAGTTTTCCTTGTTGGTAAAATGGGTGTGGGTGTTTTGCACTACATTCCTCACAAGGCTATCGTGAGAATAGCGCTTTGTAAGTTTTAAAGCGCTACAGAAAAAGGGAACTATTATCTGAGTAATTCGAGCACTGGTTATATAGGTAATTGCAGCCCAGCAGACCGGTCTCCTTGTCTTACTGCCACTGCTAACACGCTATTTTCCCCTCCCCTTCGCTCCTAGCTCTTGGCCCCCTCCCGGGGACGCTTAACCCTGTTTACAGGAATGGGAATTTGCATGATGAAAATAACCCGGGCTCGGGCCGCTATTTTACTGCCTTTGGCACAGGGCTCGGAAAAAGCGGCTGCATAGTCAATTACTGGAATTTTTAAACACAAATAATATTTTATGGGATCAGCGGGCTGGCGCAGCTCCTCCGCCCACGAACAAGCCTCATTGTGCTTGCAGGCCCCGACGGCCGCCAGAGCTGGGCCCGGCCTGGGCAGGTGCAGCGGCGGGGCCTTAGCAAGGCGCTGGGCTCCACTCATTCTTCACCCCCACCCCTGCCTAAGGGAGGGGCGAGGGTTCCGTGGAAAAGCCAGGAGGTCCAGTAACAGCTTAAGGCTGTCGAGCGGACCTAAGATGGGTCAAGTCTCCGGCCAAGAACAGCGTCTTGAAACCAAGACTGTGCATCTTTCCGCCCCCAGCCCCCAACCAACCCCCATCCCTTGGGCTCACCTGCAGTAACTGGGCCCCAGCTCAGCCTGGAAGCTGTTAGCTGGTAGAGAGGGAACGCCCAGTCCGGCCTCTCCCTGACTCCCTCCCCACCGCTCCCCCCTTCTTCCCCGCCCAGCCCTGGCGGGCTCCCCACCTCTCTGGCACTGGGGCCAGCCGCGCCGCGCCGCCTCCGGAAGGCCGGCTTCCCGGAACGGCCCGAGGGCGTCGGGGAATCCGCGCTGGGGCGCAAAGCCCAGGACTCTACCCTTCCCTCCCCCCTCTTCCCCCTCTTCCCCGTGCCTTAGGGGACAGTAGCGCTATGCTGTCCCCCTCCCCCGGAGATTGCTTTAGAGGTGAAAGGGAGGCCAAATTAGCAGAGTTAAACTGGAGAGAGATTCCTACAGGGAACCCAAAGCGCCCAAACAATCCTGGAGACTGGCCAAGGGAACCCCAGAAGCAGCTTAATTAGCTTCTTAAGCTTCCAGTACTCAGGTTGACAGGACACTTGAGTTTTTGTCCTTTAGAATCACAGAATGCCAGGGCCTAAAGGGACCTCAGGAACCAAGAATGTCAGAAAACAGTACATAAATTGTCGAGGCGGGAAGTCTTTCGAACATAGAATATTGGAACACAAAAAATAGGATATCATTACATAGTACACAGAATGTTGGGAGCTTAGAACATGGAACATCAAAATACTGAAGACACAATTTCAGCATCCTAAGGGACCTTATAATATAAACCAGTTGGAAGACCCGAACAATGAATACTAAAGCTGGAAGGGGCCTTAGAACTTGCGAGCCACTGGTCTCGAGTTTCTTCATCTGGAAAATGAGAGTGTGGGACACTAGAGTCCCTTCTGCTTCTAAATTCTATAATTCTATGAAATGTCGAAACATGGAACGTTGAAGTACAGAACGGAGAACGTCAGAGCTCATTTTGCAAACAAGGAACCTGAGTGGTACAGAGAGGGGAAGCCCAGGGTCATCCAGAGAATTAGTAGCAGATCCTGACAGGACCCAGTCCAAGGATCTTTCCATCAAAGAATCTCTAAGACTCCGTTTGTTATTCTGTCACCAACAACTCAGTTCCAGTGCCAAGATTCCCCTCGTGCCCTCCCAATACCCCCCCCCGCCAACACCCCCACCCCGCATATGCAGGGTTAAGCAGGAGCAGGTGTGCAGCCAGATGCCGATGACCACCCTCCTCCTACCACCCCCCACTACCGTCCGCCGGCCCGCCTCCTCCCCCGCCCACCAGCTCTATACCAAACAGACGCAAATAAAAGTGCTATTGTTGCTTGGGCTTTCCCCCACCCCTTTCCCTCCTCCACCACCTGGAGCAAAGCCTGTTTGCCTCTTCACCTGCCCCGGGGTAGGGCGGGGGTAGGGGGAAGTGAAGTTGCCGACTCCTGGAGTCGCGGGGGGGGGCCCCCCGCCCGGCCCCCCCCCCCCGCCCCTCTCCCACTCTACTAGACTCCCTTCTGAAGGGCCCGAGATAGAGAAACTCTTCACCCTCCCTGTCCGGCGGTACAAGAGACTAGGACGAGTAGTTCCACATTATGCACCCTGACCATTGAACTCCCGGCCTGTGCACTGGACAAGGGAGGTTCCACCCCGGGAGTAACTGCCAAGGGATACCAGCTGAACTCTCGATGGTCTCCCTTGGTCTCCCTTTCTCTCTCTCTTCTATCAGCTTCCCACCCCCATCTCTTCTCCCCAAGCTGGTCTCATTCGTCTTCCGATATACAGCTGATACACAGCAGGGCAATAAAGTAGTGGAAACCCAAGGGTATAAATGGAAGTCTTCCCGCCCGTGCCTCCATCGTGTGCAATTCATGTTTTGAGTGAGGAGAGAAACTTTCTCGCGCAAGATCCCCTAATCTCCCTCTGCTTCTCCCCAGCTCCACTCATTCCCTTTCCCCTCTCCGCCCCCCTCACGCCGGCGGCTAAGCTGCAAGGTTAAATAAATATCTGACTGCAGCTTAAGGAAACGAGTCAAAAAGAGTTGCAAGAGAAGAAATCCAGATCTCCTCTGGGACCCTTTCCCTGCCTGCCCGCCTGCCTGCCCGCCCGCCACAGCTCCTCCCAGCCTCTGATTTACTAAGAGAGACGTCCCCACCCCAAACCCGGGACAACTATACTACTGCCCAGTGCCTCGGCCCATCCAGCCCTCTGGACTTCTCCCCACCCGGGCCCTGACACCTTGAGGGCTTGGAGAGACCGCTCTGTCTTGGACTTGGGACCACTGCCCTAACCACAGAGTCTGATTACCATATTTCCTTGCAGTTCACCTCTTGTTTGCTGCACAAGAGTTGAGGTTTGTAAACTAGTTGAGGGATTCCACTGTTCCCCTAACCTAGAAGGGCTGTACTCCAGCCCTCCTAAACCCCACCTTTCAGAACTCTACCTTTATTCTGATGTGGATGAGTAGTTGGTGGGTGGGGAGAGAAAGGGCCGTGTGTGGTGTTTCCTGCATCTGGAGCATACTTGTGGATGAGTAACTTGGTGCAGTAGAAACTACTGGGCAAGTCAGTCAATAAGGCATTTATTAAGCTCCTACTATGTACCAGGCACTGTGTTAAGGACTGGGGATACAAACAGAGGCAAAAAACAGTCACTACTCTCTAACAGCTCATGATATAATATGAGAGACAACAAGCAAATATGTACCCCCCAAAAAAACCATATTCAGAGTAAATAGGAATAACAGAGGGAAGGCATTAGAGTTAAGAAAGATTGGGAAAGGCTTCCTGTAGAAGGTAGGATTTTAGTTGGGAATTGAAGAATGCCAGAAGACGGAAGAAGAGCATTTCAGGCATGGGGGACAGCTACAGAAAATACTCAGATTCAAGTGATGGAGTGTCTTGTTTATGAAACAGCAATGAGGCCAGTTTCACTGGATCACAAAGTATATGTTGGGGAGTAAGGACCAGAAAAGGAGAGATTAGGTTATGAAGGGTTTCAAATGCCAAACAGAAGATTTCATATTTGATTCTGGAGATAGGGACCCGCTGGAGTTCATTGAGTTGGGGAAGGGGGAGGGTGACATGGTCAAACCAAATTTTTAAAAAGGAAAATCATTTTTCGTGGCTGAATGGAGGGTGGGTTGGATGGGGAGAGACTCGAGACAGACAGATCCAGCAGCAGGCTATTACTATAGTCTAAGCTTGATGTGATGAACGCCAGTACCAGAGTAGTGGCGGGTATCAGAAGAGAAAAGGGGGCATATTAGAGAATTGTTGCAAAGGTGAAATCTATAGACCTTGACAACAGATTGGATATGGTGTGTTAGAGATGGTGAGGACTCAAGAAGGATTCCTAGGTTGCAAGGCCAGGGGACTGGGAGGATGGTGGTGCCATCAACAGTAATAGGGAGATTGGGAGGGGTGAGGATTTAGGAGGGAAGGTAATGAGTTCAGTTTTGGACATGTTGAGTTTAAGATGTCTATAGGATAGTTAGAGATGTCTGAAAGGCAATTGGAGATGCAAGATTAGAGGTCAGCAGGGAATTTAGGGCTGGATAGGCAGATTTGAGACCCGTCAGTTTGGAGATGGTAATTAAATCCGTGGGAGCTGATGAGATCACCAAGTGAAGTAGTATAGAAGGAGAAGAGGACCCAGAACAGAGTCCTGTAGGATACCCAAAGTATCCTGACTTGGATGAGAACCTAGCAAAGGAAACTGAGGAGTGCTCAGATTGGTAGGAGAACCAGGAGAGATGGGTGTCCCGAAAACCTAGAGAGAAGAAAGCATCAAGGAGAAGTGGGTGATCAACAGTGTCAAAGGCTGTGGAGAGGTCAAGAAGAGTGAAGACTGAGAAAAGGCCATTTGATTTGGCAGTTAATGGATCACTGGTAACTTTGGAGAGAGAAATTTTGCTGGAAAGATGAGGTTGGAAGCAGGATTATCAACTGGATTGTTGAGAAGGGAGTAAGAGGAGAGGAAGTTGAGGTGCCTATTGTAGACAGCCTTTTCTCAAAGAGTTGAGCCATAAAGGGCAGAAGAGATATAGACCAACAGGGAGGATGGAAGGATCAAGTGAGAGGGTTTTTTCTTTGAGGATAAAGGAGATATAGGCATATTTGTAGGCAGTAGGGAATGAGCCAATAGAGAGAAATTGAAGATAAGTGATAAAGTGGGTATGATAGAGAGGACCATTTATTGCAGGAGATAGAATGGAATGGGATTGCTTTTGTAGGGAGAGTAATTTGCCTTGGCAAGGGGTAGAACCACGTTTTTATATGAGACAGGTGAAGGAAGAAATTGTGGCAGAAGGCATCTGAGTGATCTGAGATAAGGAAGAGGGGAGAAGAAAGAACTCATAGTGAAAGGTTTCCATTTTTTTCTGTAAAATAAGCAATTTTCTCATCTGAGAGCGTGGAAGAGGGAGCCATGGGAGGTTTGAGGAGGGATGAAAAAGTTTGGAAGAGCCACTGTGGTGTGGCGCTTAGTGAGTTGATAAGGGAGTATCACTGAGGTTGTGTAACATAGATTTGTAAAAAACCTAGTCAGAACCTTTGCATGATTTTCTGTACCTTTGTTCACTAGCACATGTCAAGAGACAAATGTCTTAATTTTTGCTGGGAGTAGGAAGTGTCAAGTGGGTATAAATATAATAATACTATATGGTAGATGGGTAGGAGCCCATATCAAACAGGAGTTCTTAACAATTAATGTAGCCCTCTGAGGATATAGGTTACTACTATGACTTTTGAGCCTTAGGTCACAAGCAGTGAAGTGACATCAGTGTTTGTTCTTGGCTCAGGCCAGTTTTTAATTACAAGGCTAAGTTATTAAGGACAAGATGTTCTTAATGTAGTTATAGGTGTCTTGAAAACAAAGATGACCTTGGGGAGGCTGTGGGGGGGGGAATGTCATATTGACTTGGCCTCTCCTCTCCCCTTCTTTTCACCCTGGTACCAGATATCAAAAGGACAGGGAGAAGGAGATATTTTGTTTTTTAAAAAATCTATGTGCACACACACAGGATATATACATTACATATGTATTATATGTTTCTATCACAATTTAAGAAGCCAAAAAGTTGTTTCCATTTGAATCTACCTTTTG